AGATTCTGGTTTCCTCACAGACTTATCAATACTTGGTATGGTTAGTCTTGTTATTTTAGCCATTCTACTGCATGTGTATTTTGTTTTAATAGGCATTTCACCTGCTTTTTTGAATTTATTCATATACCTTGTTTGATGAAGTATCTATTCAAATCTTTTCTCCAGTTCTTTGTTTATTATTGAGTTAAAAAAGGGGATTTATGTATTATAGATATAAGACTTTTATCAGATATATATTTTGCAGTATTTACCCAGTTTATAGCTTGTCTTTTCATTTCTTTTCTAAATCTTTAACAAGCAACAATTCTGATTTTTTTTATCAGTTTTATCAGTTTTTCTTTTATAGATTATGTTTTTGGTATCATAGCTAAGATATCTTTGCTTATTCCAAGGTCATAAATACTTTCTCTGGCTTTTCCCCACTAGGAATTTTAGCACATAAAATTATATCTATAATGCATTTTTAAACTTTTTTTTATTGTTAGAGATTCATTGAGGGTATAAGAAACCAGGTTACACTGATTGCACTTGTTAGGTAAAGACCCTCCTACAATCGTGTCTTGCTCCCAAAAGCATTTTTTAATTTTTATGTATGATTTGAGATAGGAATCTATGTTTGGTTTTTTGTATGTGGACATCCAATGTTCTGTGAGATCATTTGTTGAAAAGACTATCTTTTGGGAAGTGAGGGGGGTGGATGAGGGAGGGAGGGTGATTGGTGGGGTCACCTCTATGGTTTATCCTACAAGGGTCCAAGTGAATCTTTCTAAAAGCAGAGTATGAATGTCTTAACTCAATAACTAAGAAAATGACATGAAGGCTATGTTAACCAGTTTGATGAGAGTATTTCAAAATGTATATGAAAACAGCACACTGTACCCCATGATTACATTAATGTACATAGTTATGCTATAAGAAATAATAAAGGAAATTTGAATGGGAAAAAAAAAAGAAAAGACTATCTTTTTCCTAGAATTGACTTAGCATCTTTGAAAATCAACTGACCATAAATATGTGGGTTGAATTCTGAACACCTCTATTCAGTTTCTTTGATCTATTTATCTCTCTTAATGAAGATTCCACAGTATCTTGACTACTGTAGTTTAATACTGTTTTGAAATAAGGTAGTATAAGTACTCTAACTTCATTTTTATTCATCAAGATTGTTTTGGCTATTATAGGTATTTTTGTATTTTTATATAATTTTAGAGTTAGGGTGTCAATTTCTTCAGTAATCTTGTGAGACTTTTAATAAGGATTGCATTTAATTTACAGTCTTATAATCCATGAACATATCTCTCTCCATTTACTTAGGTATTTAACTTATCTGAGTAATGTTTTATAGTTCTCAGTGTATAAGTCTTGCACTTCTCTTGTTAAATTTATTCCTAATTATTTTATTATTGCTATGGTTGGAGTGTCCCGACCAAAACTCATGTTGGAACCCATAAGAGATGGCATCGAATGGAAGGACTGAGCTCCTCCCTTTTGGGTAGCCTGGTGCCATTCCCATAATAGTAAGTGAGTTCTGTCTCTCTCAAGACTAGATTAGCTCTCTTATAAATGGATCAGTTTCCATGACAGTGAGTTATTATAAAGCAAGGTCATGTCTCAGGTGTGGCCACTGGGCACATGCTGCTTCCTCTTTGACTTTCTGCCATGTTGTGATGCTAAAGCCCTCACCAGAGCCAAGCAGACATTAGTGCCAAGCTTCTTGAGCTTCTAAGCCTCTGATACAAATACACCTCTTTTCTTTATAAATTACACAGTCTCAGGTATTTTGTTATAGCAACACAAAATGGACTAAGACAGAAATTTGGTACTGAGAGTGGAGTGTTACTATAGAGATACCCAAAAATGTGGAAGCAGTTTTGGAACTGGCTAACGGGCAGAGGGTGGAAGAGTTTAGAGGAACAGGCTGAAAAAGACTATGTTGTCATGAAGAGAGCATTAACGATGATTCTGGTGAGGGCTCCAAGAAGACAAAAAGATGGAAGTTTGGAACTTAGAGGCTGGTTAAATGATCGGTCATTACCAGAATTCAGATAGAAATATGAATAGTGAGACCACTCTGATGAAATTGCAGATGGAAATGAGGAACAATGTATTGGGAACTGGAGAAAAGGCCATCCTTCTCGTATCATAGCAAAGAACTTGCCTGCATTGTGTCTGTACCTTGGGACTTTGTGGAAGGCCAAATTTAAAAGTGATGACCTAGGGTATCTGGCAGAAGAAATTGCTAAGCAAAGTATAGAGGGATCTATGTGGTTACTTTTAGCTCCACGCAGTAAAATGCTAGAGCAAAGGGAGGCAGAGCATAAAAATTTAGCCTGTTTATTTTCAGAGAACAAAAGAACATTTTCAAGAGAGGAATTTAAGGGTGCAACCAGAGCAGCTGGTTACCAAAGAGATAAGGACTGAGAGCAAAGAACCAGTTGATAATTGTTGAGACAGTTTTTTATTTTATGTATTGATTTTTTTTTGCCCTTGACTTAACTTTAATATTGTTTAAATTAAATCATAGCTGTGTACATTAATGCAATCATGGCGTACAATGTCGAGACAGTTTTTTAAAAGGCCCTGAAGGCATTCCAGAAATCTGAAGGTGCTCCCTCCCATTACAAGACTAGCAGCCCAAGAGGACAGAGCAGTTTCTGGGGATGGGACCCCAGTATCTCTGTTGATTTTAGATTTTGTTATAGTGGTTTCTCTGGAGATTACAATATTCATCTTCACCTTGTTACAATCTACTTTAATATTAATTTAATATTAATCTAATCTAATATTGACTTAATTTTGATTTAATTCCACCATTATATAGTAACTTTGAGCCAATATACTTCTGTATGCCATAAACTCAGCAGTATTATGTTTTAGTTACTGCCCATAATAATCTTGTGTTTTTTTAAATTAAGAAGTAAAATGAGGAAATATATATGCACACAACCTTTTATACTTACACACCTATTTACCATTTCCAGTGCCCTTTATTCCTTCTCATTGGTTCGGGTTACCATCTGGTACCATTTCCTTTCATCATAAAGCATTTTCTTCTTTTTTTTTTCCTCTCAAGCTGTTGCCCTGGGGAGAGTGCCATGGCGTCACAGCTCACAGCAACCTCAAACTCCTGGGCTTAAGCAGTTCTCTTGCCTCAGCCTCTCAAGTAGCTGGGACTACAGGCACAATGCTCAGCTATTTTTGTTGTTGTTGCAGTTGTCATTGTCTTAGCAGATCCGGGCTGGGTTCGAACCCACCAGCCTCAGTATTGTGGCCGGAGCCCTACCCACTGAGCTACCGGTGTCACCATAGGTATTTTCTTTAGTGTTTCTTCAGCACGAATAAATTTTCATTATTTATCTGGAAATGTCTTTATTTCAGCTTCATTTCTGAAGGATAGTTTTACTGAATATAGAATTCTTGATTGACCGTTTTTTCTCTGCACTTCTGAAATGTTACTGTACTTCCCCTGGCCCCAAGGTTTTCTGATAAGAATGCTGCTGTTGATTGATTGTATTATTATTCTCCTGCATGTGATGAGTCATCTCTATTTGCATGATTCTCCTATTACTTGGTTTTCCACTAGCTGACAATGCTGTCCCTAGGTGTGGATCTCCTTGTGTTCATCCTAGCTGGGATTTATTGCTTAATGTTTTTCATTAAATTTTGGAAGTGTTCAGAAATTTATATTTTCAAATATTTTTCTGCCCCTGTATTTCTATCTTTCTTTCACATGCTCAAACATGCTTTTGAGCCTCCCTCGTCATTGTACTTTTCAGTTCCAGACTTCTGTTTTTACATTCATTTATTTTTGAGGCAGAGTCTTTTTTGGTCACCACAGCTAGAGTACACTAATGTCACCAAACTCCTGTGCTTAAGATTAATACTCCTGCCTCAGTCTCTGAGTAGCTAGGACTACAGGCATGCACCACCATGCCAGTTTTTTTTTTTATTTTTTCTATTTTTAGTAAAGATGGGATCTCACTCTTGCTCAGGCTTGTCTTAAATTCCTGACCTCAAGTTTTCCTCCTACCTTGGCCTCCCGGAGTGCAGGAACATAGGTGTGAGCCACCACACCTGGCTGTTTCCTTGGCTGTGCAGGGAAGCCTTTTAATTTAATCAAGTCGTATTTGTCAATTTTTGTGGCTCCTGTGATTGTGTTTGGGGTCTTCTCCACAATTCTTGGTCAAGGCCAATATGTATAAGGCTTTTCCAACTTTTTCTAGAATTCTTACAGTAAACTAAATTTTTGGCTTGAAATTGGACTTTGCATATTTAATAACCTAATACAATTCATGGCAAGTGAAGGTAGCTATTTAATGGGCCCATAGAATTTATCATGTAGCTGTCTGTCCTTTACGGAAATCTAAGGATTCTCCTGTAAGGCCTTAGTATCTAGTTGCCAGCAATAAGATGTCTCCTAACTTTCTCCTTCTGTCCACCTTACTTCCTGTATATAACCTTAGATACGTTGTACTCATTCCAACGAACTCCAGGTTCACTTTTTTTCAGGCCTTACCTCCTCTAATACATTTATACCAAATATCAACTAAATTATCCTTTCAATTAAAAGATTTAGTCTGTTCCCATTAAAGGATTTGGCACCCTGCCACTGTAATCTTTAATAAAAGTGAAAATACTTATCATAGCCAGTTGTCCTCTTATTTGTAAAGAAAAGGCTATTTTAAAATATGAATAAAGTAAATCTCATCATACTGTCAAGACATTTTAAAAGTGTTAAGTATTATAAGAAATATTTAGGACTTTAAATAGTTCACATATGTTCATATAGTTTGTTTAAAACATTTATCATAAAGTGACAGGGTCCTGAATATATGTTAAGCAGATATCTCTTCTATCATACTAGTAAGCAATATTAGTCTGTACCACGTATCATTGTAAGAAATTGGCTAATAACATATTGAATAAAATAAATTCAACTTTTGTTTGTATACATCTATGTCTATGTAGATACATAGATGTATGCTTTTTTTATATTTCAGGAGTTATGCTCTTTATGATATGGTGTGTAATGTGGTCATTGTCAGGCTCTGAAGTTCTACCTGGTGGAAATTTATTTGGACTGGTAATTATTTTTTATAGTGCCATAATTGGGGGGAAACTTTTGGAATTCATTAGAATACCTGCAGTGCCTCCACTTCCACCTCTTCTTGGTAAGTATATTAATTGGCTTTCCTTTCTTTGTTATTGGTTATATGTAAATTTTGAACATTTTCTATTTGAACTGTATATAATTCAAAAATATCTCAAGTGTAATATGATCTATATAGCTTCTTTATGTAATTACTATATATATGTATGTAGCTCCTTTATAGATGTATTTATTACCTGTCTCTACACACACACATACCTCTACTCAGGTTTTGTTTTATTTTGTTTTGTGATAGAGTCTCACTTTGTCACTCTTGGTAGAATACCAAGACATCATAGCTCACAGAAACCTCAAACTCTTGGGCCTGAGCTATCCTCTTGCCTCAGCCTCCCAGGTAGCTAGGACTACAGGCTTTTACCACCACACCCAGCTATTTTTTAGAGATGGGGATCTCAGTCTTGCTCAGGCTGTCTTGAACTCCTGAGCTCAGGCTATCCACCTGCCTCAGCCTCAGTGTCCAGGAGTGCTAGGATTACAGGTGTGAGCCATCAGGCTTTTATCCAGAATGAATGTATGTACATATATATATTTTTTTTTTTTTTTTGAGACAGAGTCTCACTTTGTCGCCCTCGGTAGAATGCTATGGCATCACAGCTCACAGTAACCTCCAGCTCTTGGGCTTACGCAGTTCTCTTGCCTCAGCCACCCAAGTAGCTGAGGCTACAGGCACCCACCACAACGTCCAGCTATTTTTTTGTTGCAGTTTGGCCAGGGCTGGCTTCAAACCTGCCACCCTCGGTATATGGGGCTGGCACCCTACTCAACTGAGCCACAGGCCCCGCCCTCCAAAATATATTTTTAAAATAATTTTAATATCCTTTCTGTATGATTCTTGTGACTTTATCATTTAATAAGATTTTTACTTAATTTTGAAAGTATTATAGAAGAAGAAAATTTTAAAAAGACTAAATTTTTGTGTAGATAACCTAACTGGAATACAATGATGAAATTCAAACATTATAGTGACTAGGGCACTAAAAGGTCCTATGATTTTTGAATAAGCTGTTTGAGCATCTCCACAATGTGTATCCATGCATGCATCATCATACCAGTATTATACCAATTGCCTCATCACCACTGTCCATCAACTTTCCAGCTAGACAGAGGAAAATTAATGGAAGAATTTCATATCTTCTATGTATAGCAGGTCCTCAAATAATGTTGTTTTATTCAAGGTTGTTTCCTTATAATATTGATGAGAAAAAAAAATCTCAATGAGGGTCACTATCTGCTTGGAGTTTGTCCATTCTCCTCATGTCTGCTAACAGGTTTTCTCCAGGTACTCCAGTTTCCTCCTACATCCCAAAGATGTGCACATTAGGTGATTCAGCCTGTGGGTCTGGTCCTTGTCTGAGTGAATGTGGGGGTTGTGTGAGTGTACCCTGTGGTCAGTGGCATCCTGCCCTAGAAGAGTTCCCCATTTGAACCTTGAGCTGCCAGGATAGGCTCCAGCAACCTGCAGCACTCAACTAGAATAAGTGGGTTGGAAAATTAATGAATGAATACAAATTTTTGTAAAATAAAAATTTGTAAAGAGTGCAATAATTATACAAATGCATGCCAATAAACAAAGAAGTAAGAAAGTCCTCAGCAAGCCTGCCATATTTGTGATTATTCTTGAACTGCATAGTAGGAGAAAGCATGCCTGACAATTTTCATTTTCCAAACATTTATTCCTTGATTTAAACCAGCACCGCTATGACCACTGTCACTAATTGATTCACCAAAAATTGGATAATTATCTTTCTTACTTTTATTAATCTTTCTTAAATGTATGTATAGTTCATATTTATTTCAGTAGTTAATAGCATAAGTGTTTAGGACTTTATTTGGAAGTTTGGTGATTTTTATGTGTTCAGAAACATGCTGTAGAAATAAGTCTTATTGATATCAGTTAGAAATTTGGTTTTGTTATGCACCATTTTGCTTAAAGTTGCAATTTCCAAAAGCCTATTGAAGATGTTAAGTGAGGACTTACTATACTCAACGCATCTAAACACTCAGGACATTGTCAGTAGAGATAATCTCTACATCTTATCTCTAATACTCCTTCTATGTTCATTACATTCTTGTAGCACCTTATAAGTATTCACTGAGTAGTTTCTCTCCTTTCCAAAACTTTCCCTTTAGCTGTAGGTGAGGCTACAATTTCTCTGTCTCCAATTTTATCCCTAATTCACTAGGACTCGCACATAGAAACTACAAGACTCACAATTTCCCTTCCTGCCTAAAGCCTTTCCATGGTGCCCTACTCTGCCAAAGGGGATGGGGAGCTTTCCGTGCTCTGTCTCCTCCAGCTCATTCACCCCATTCCCATCCTTGTCCTGTGTGTTCTAGCAACACTAAAGTATTAGTTGAAGCCTATTTAGATATATTTTTTCTTATCTCTGTTCTTTTTTTCATGCTGTCTCCGATACTTGTATGTAAGCGCCTTTCACCAAAGCAAGAAATATAGTGTGTTGAAAGAGTGGAAATTAAATGTTTTCTGTCTTGAAAAAAATGAACTGAATCAGACATCTTTATTTTCTTTCTTTCAAGGGATGTTAATGGCTGGTTTTGTTATTAGGAATGTTCCATCCATCAGCAAGCACGTCCGAATTCATAACACATTGTCTTCAACTTTAAGAAATACTGCCCTTACCATTATCCTAATACGAGCTGGGCTTGGACTCGACCCAGAGGTAGATTTCCAATTATCACTTGAGAGAAGTTATTTCAAATATTAGAGGCTGAGGGAAGATCAAAAGAGGGAAAATTTTGTTACAGCTCTTCCAAGTGGAATCTGTAAGCAAAACTAAGATAGGGAACAAAGACTTTGCAGAAATATTTGTACTTTAATTTCTATTTCTAGTCATAATATGAAAAGAACTCACTGTGCTATCAAGTCTTTCTTAGAGATCATCTTGAATTACTTGCACAGAGATAAATGTTCCTTATGCAGCACTTGTTTTATTTGGGAGAGGCTCTTCTAGGGAGAATTCTTAATTTTTTAACCCTATAAAAGGCTTTTCTTTGTCTTCCAAGAGTATTAAAAAGTTCAATAATATGTTTTCATGACTTTTTCTCCACAGAAGTATGTTTCTAATTATCTTTGCATTAATGTAAAATTTAACCTTTTAAGTTATTTCTTAAAATATTAGAATCCAAGGACCATATATCTACTTGGGTTTTCAGAAAATGACTATTCATGACTATAATAGCTATTCAAATGTAGCAAATGTAGGGGTTTTAGGGAAATATCTCAAGAGCATAAATAATTATAGCCAGTGATAATTTATTATATTCTCCAGTAGAAAATGTGAAGCAATGAGAAAATTGAAAAGTTCTCCCTTTTTAAATTAATTATGCAGGTTTAAGTGATTTTCTTTTTTAGCATATTAGTGTTTACAATTTGTAATTATTAAGCTAAACAGTTTATCTCTAAAAAATTAACTGATGGGAAAAACTCATAGGATACTATGATTATACTATTTATTAGTAAAACCAAGGAGGTAGATATAAGTAGATATTCAAAGGAATCACAAAAAATGGATCTTTTTAAGTAATTAAAATTCAATAATATTTATAAAATATGAATTTTTTTGTAATCCAATCTTATGATGATATATAAAATGAGCCAGGAGAAGAGTTTCAAGTCCAGTGGGAAAACCTGGTCAAATGATATTTAGTTTAGTAAAAGCTTCCTACTCAGAAAAAACTATTTCAATATTCACTTACATAATTTTCTTGTCAGCCATTGTAAGTTGTAAATATGACTGTTTTTATATTTCAGGCTCTGAAGAACTTGAAGGCAGCTTGTTTAAGGTTGTCTATGGGCCCATGCCTCATGGAGGCATGTTCAGCTGCTTTTTGTTCCCACTTCATTATGAAATTTCCCTGGCAATGGGGATTTCTATTAGGGTAATTTTTTTCTTATTTTTCCCTATGAAATCATTCAATTAAGGATGCTGAGTTTAAAATTATTAAATTAGTCAGAATATTATGTAGATAAGCTCTTCATTAAAATTATTTTCACAGTGCTAAAAAAGTTTGGAAACCAGTTGATCAAAAGCAGAGCTATGTGCCAAATCTACCATATTCTTAACACACATTCATAGTCCCTGAATGTATAATGCCAAGGTAATCACTTCAGCAATTTATTCCTTCTCTTCTATGTTATAACATATTTTTATATTTTAACCTATCTAAAGACCTTGTCCTCATACTCTATACAGGGATATAATTTCATATGATAGTTAGTATGTATATGAGAGAGCTTTTACATAGATACAGTTATAAAAATAGAAACTCTCCCCTTTTTAAAAAACAAGTAAATGAACTAAAATTCTTCCCCTAAATTCAACACCCCATCTATCTTTACCACCAATTTCTCTATGTCTGAATTCTTCAAAATGAGTCTGTAATCTTTATTTCTAGATCCTAACTCCTTTTTATTTTTCAATTCATTAACTTTTTTTTTTTCTTTTTTGAGGCAGAGCTCACTCATTCGCCCTTGATAGAGTGCTATGGCATCACATCTCACAACAAACCTCAAACTCTTGGGCTCAAATGATCCTCTTTTCCCAGCCTCCTGAGTAGCTGGGTCTACAGGCACCCACCACAATGCCCATCTAGTTTTTCTATTTTTAGTAGAGATGGAGTCTCACTCTTCTCAGGCTGGTCTCAAACTCTTGAGCTCAAGGAATCCTCCTGCCTCATCCTCCCAGAGTGCTGGGATTACAGGCTTGAGCCACTGTACCCAGCCTAATTCATTAAATTTTGTCTCAACTTGTCCATTCCATTGAGATTTTAGTGTAGTTCACTCACTACATACTTACTAGCAAATCCAGTGGATTTTTAAGATTAATTTTATTACAAAATACCCAAATGCATTTTTCTTTTGAAAAATTAGAACTTTATAGATAAAAGTGATGTGACCTTTGACTATGCCTTCAAATCCTGGTGCCCAAATTCCTACCCAAAGTGACAACTCTTCTTACAAGTTTTATATTATCTTTTTAGACCTTTAAAAATAGCATTCTGGGTTTATTTAAAAATATATGTGAAATGATAGAGAAAAGAATATAATTTTGCACATTTTCACTTAATTATATATCAAAGAATGTTTCATTTTGTGCAGAAAAGTTTGAGAACCACTTAACTAGACAAATACGTGTATGGTTTTGGAAAAGTCTAGTCTTTTTATGATTCCATGGAGAAATATGGAGCATAAACTGCACCACAAAGGTTAAACAAGCCAGAGGCAAATGACCTAAACTCTCAGACACGTCTCAGTCATTGGTAGAAGCTTTCTGGAGAAAGTATAGAGGAGAGGGGGGCAAAGTCTGCCTAGCATTCCCAGGTAAGCCACTTGTCAGCAGGTGCTGGTAGTCAGCAGCCTACAGGCAGCACCTGGACGATGTCTTCACTGGCCTGGTAAATGGGTTCTTGGAAACAGCAACAGCATCTCCATGCAGGGTATACCTCAGCCTTTATAAAGGGAAGATAGAGAGATGAGGCAAAGGTGTGGATGAGACATGCCAACAGAAGGTGTTCTCAGCAGGAGTCTCCCCATTCCTCCTGAGTGTCATCAACCACCCCAGAAATGTGCTCATTTGCCTTTGTGACTTAGGCGCCCATACTCATTATGTTGTCTTGGGCAGATACCTCTATTCCTTTTTTATTTACTCAAGAAGCAGGAATTTGTCTAACTATTCTTACAGTGATACTCCAAATACTCAGCCATTTGTTTTCCCCAAAAGTCTCTCCTCCTAGCAGCTGCCATTTCTTGGCTTGGAGCACCTTTAGAAAGAAGTTATACTGTATCTTTTGCAGCAATCTCTATTTACACACATTTTGGTTTCTTCTTCTTCTTTTAATACTAAACTGTTTCTTATCTTCCTGGGATACATTTAGTTTCTTGCACATTGAAGAATCTCCTTTTGTTTTCTAGATCAGTGATAGACGTTTCTATTACTTTTACACCCTCACTTCAAAGGATTTAGGGCTGGAGGGAGACAAGCAGTCTGTGCTCAGCCCAACATTTTGAACTGTATCTCTATAAAATTTTAGCCAGCACTAAAGAATGCATGAAAAATTTTATTAGCACGAAATGGCATTCACTCAAATTTGAAATTGTTAATATATTTGTGGAAAGTTTATAATAAAACACTATTTAATAGGATGTTTTTAAATTGGTTTTCAAAGTCTTGTCTTTCAGTTTTGTACTAGGGGCTGTCTCTCCTGCTGTCGTTGTCCCTTCCATGCTGCTTTTGCAAGAAAAAGGATATGGTATTGAAAAAGGCATTCCAACCTTACTGATGGCTGCTAGCAGTTTTGATGACATCTTGGCTATCACTGGATTTAACACATGCATGAGCATAGTCTTCTCAACAGGTAAACAAAGTACAACAACCACATCATTCATGGTGTTTTTTGTTCTTTAAACAAGGTTTCTGCCTTTGCTTCTTCATTCATTAAACACTCTTCAGTTTAACATCTGTATATTCTTCATCAAAAGTTTATTCTAGGTTTGGCGCCTATAGCACAGTGGTTAGGGCGTGGGCCACATGCACGAGGGCTGGCGGGTTCAAACCCAGCCCAGGCCTGCTAAACAGCAATGACAACTGCAATTAAAAAAAAAAAAAAAAAGCTGGGCGTTGTGGCGGGCATCTATAGTCCCAAGCTACTTGGAAGGCTGAAGCAAGAGAATCGCGTCAACCCTAGAATTTGAGGTTGCTGTGAGCTGTGACACAGCAGTGTGACATGGCACTCTACCGAGGGCAAGATAATGAGACTGTCTAAAAATTAAAAAGTTTATTCTAGACACAAAAGAAATTTCAATGGTTTCAGTGGCTTAAGAAACCATTACTTAACACAGATGATTTCATTTTAATTATCACGTTTCAATTAATTGATGAACCATATTATTACCATTTCTATTTAATTGCTTATGTTGCTTTGGAATGTTATTTTTTTGGCGGGGGAGGGGGGGGATAGGGTCTAACTATCTCACCCTGCATAGAGTAGAGTGCAGTCGCATCACAATTCACAGCAACCTTAAACTTTTGGGCCTAAGCAGTTCTCTTGTCTCAGCCTCCTGAGTAGCTGGGACTACAGGTACCTGCCAAAATGCCCAGCTATTTTTTGGTTGCAGTTGTTATTGTTGTTTAGCAGGCCCAGGCTGGGCTCAAATCCACCAGCCTCAGTGTATGTGGCTAGCGCCCTACTCACTGAGCTATGCATGCCAAGCCTGGAATGTTATCTTTTCTCACTAGAAAATTTTAAGTAATACTATTATTAGTATTACTAATATTTTAATAGATATTTTTGAAATATACTCCTTTGACCATCCTCATATATAACTCATTGCTCTGTTATAAGACAATTTATATAGGAGAGCTGGGACAACCGTGTGGCTTTTTGGTAGTGATAGGACAAGATCCTGCACCAAGCTTTGACTCCCATGGCAATATCTGGTCTTGAAAGTCACTGTAGAAATTGGAAAAGTAAACATTTATGCATCAGTAACACTTCAATTGATTGCAGTGGTTGAAATTGAGTTTTCTGTATTGTTAAAACACCAAAATATTTTTTAATTTGAAAAGTAATATGTATAATTTCTCTTAAAGTCAAAAATATGAATAAACAGAGGAAAAGGGAAAAAGATAAAAATAAAATCTGTGATAGTCACACAAAGAAAAATAGAATCTTTTCCTTCTGAACCTTTTGAGGTAAATTCACCCACACTTTTCTCTTTTGTCTTTTGTGTGTATGTGAAGGTACAAAGCATCTTAAAAAATTTTCTTTGAGTATTAGCTTAAAGGGGTATAAGTCGAAATCTCTTACATGTATATATTGTATAGTGGTGAGGTTTGGGCTTTTAGTATACCCATCACCTAAGTAGTGTATCCCTCACTCAATCCCAACCCTGCCTTGTGTGTCTCTAGTGTCCATTATACCATTCTGTGTGCCCTTGTGTAGCCACAGTTTAGCTCTCACTTGTGAGAAAAAACAGGTAGCATTTATTTTTCTGTGCTGAGTTACTTCTCTTAGGATAATGGCCTCCATTTCCATCCAAGTTGCTGCAAAACACATTTTATTCTTGCTCATCACTGATATTCCTCTGTGGCATATGTATACCATATTCCTTAATCCATTCATCAGTTTATGGGCATTTAGATTGATTCCATAACTTTGTGATTTTGAATTATGCTGTGATAAATAGATTGAGGGCAGGTGTTGTTTTGATATCATTTCTTTTCCTCTGGATAGATGTCCAATAGTAGGATTGCAGGATCAAATAGTAAATCTACTTTTAATTCTTTGAGAAATCTCTATATTGATCTCCATAAGGTATGGCAGCTTTGGTAACTTAGGAGCTGGCTTAGTCCTTTGTGACTAAGAAAACACCTTGGCTTACAAGTTTCAGGCATTCACAGTTTTTAAATAGTCTCTCACAGTCCACATTTGTGGTGCAAATGACATTTTTTGAAAAGGTAAAATATTATAGACATAAAAGCAAATTGTTAGTTGTCTATTCTTTCCATTATCTCACTATTTCCCCAATCAAGACCCAAATTTTAACCAAAATGACCCTACTCATCTCCATTCTTTCCCACTTCATCCCTCCTACCTGTATAATATATGAGTAATATCTAAAAACTGCATATATCCTACACTGTAAAAATGCACAGTTAACACTGTTGGGAAGAGGACTGTGGGTTGTGGAGATGCTCTTTGAAGATCTACAATTTCTGCTCTCCCACACATACAGTTCAAGTTTTGCCCTTCATAAAAGGCCCTTTACTTTCCTCCTCAGAATGCAGAATGAATTGCCTTGAAACACATACCCCTTCCCCACCACTGGACTGTGTGTGCAAACAAAACGGCTTGAATGGCTTTAGAGCACTTTGGGCTGCTGCAGGGCACAGAGTATGCTGGCTCTTCAAAGGGCATCTTCTCAAGCCACCTCTATGGTGTCAAGACAAGTAAAATTTTTTCTCTCTCATACACTGGAGAAAGGTCACAGTGTTCAATAAATGGTGCTGGGAAAATTGGATAGCCACATACAGAAGAAAACTTGTCCCTGTCTCTCACTGTACACAAAAATTAACTCAAGATGGATTAAAGACTTGAACATTAAGCAAGAAAATTGCAAGACCTGAACAATAAAAGTCCTGGAAAAAAACCCAGGGAAAACTTTTCTTGACAGTGGCCTACGCAAAGAATTTGAAGTAAGACTGCCAAAACAAGTGCAGTAAAAACAGAAATAGACAAATAGGACTTAGTTAAATTAAAAAGCTTCTTCCCAGCAAAAGAAATAATCAAAAGAGTAAATAGACTACCTACAGAATAAGAGAAAATGTTTGCAAACTTTGCGTCCAACAAGAGACATATATCCTGAATCTACAAGGAATTCAAACAACTCAGCAAGATGCAACCAACCCCATTACAAAGTGGTAAATTGTTCTGCAAATCTGGGGGCCCCAATGCTGGGTCCATGTGTGTTTAGGATCATTATATCCTCTTGTTGAATTGATGTCTTTATCATTATATAACGACCTTCTTTGTCTATTTTTATCAATTTTGATTTAAAATCTGTTTTATCCCACGTAAGTATAGCTATTTCTGATTGCTTTTGGTTTCCATTTGTGTGGAATATCTTTTTCCACCCTTTTATTTTCAGTCTATATATGTCTTTATTGGTCTAGTGTGGGTTTCTTCTAAGCTACATACAGTTGGATAATTTTTTATCCTTTCTGCCAATCTGTATCTTTTAAGTGGAGCATCTAACCCCTTTATGTTTAGGGTTAATACTGGTATGTGTAGAATTTTCTTTCATCTTGACTGTGGACAGGTTCATTCAATGTGTCTGGGAGAGGCTCTGTTTGAGTTGAGATGACCTGCTGGGGTTAAATATCTACCTGAAAGGAGTGTGTTGTTAGCAAAACTTAGGAAGTTTTCACTTATGGTAATCTCCAGTAGGGCTTCATTCTTTGGGGACAGGCTTCTCCTTCAGGAATCCCTATTATTCATATGTTTCAACACTTCGTGGAGTCTCATAGTTCTCTAAGCACCTGTTCTGCTTTCTCTCTCTTCTGTTCTGCCTCTTTTTTTTTTTTTTTTTTTTTTTGAGACAGAGCCTCAAGCTGTCCCCCTGGGTAGAGTGCCGTGGCATTACTGCTCACAGCAACCTCCAACTCCTGGGCTGAAGCGAGTCTCCTGCCTCCGCCTCCCAAGTAGCTGGGACCACAGGCGCCCGCCACAACGCCCGGCTATTTTTTGGTTGCAGCCGTCATTGTTGTTTGGCGGGTCCGGGCTGGGGATTCGAACCCGCCACCTTAGGTGTACGTGGCTGGCGCCTTAGCCGGTTGAGCTATAGGCGCCGAGCCCTGTTCTGCCTCTTTAACTACCTGGGTTAACTTGAAAACTTTACCCTCTAACTCTGAGGTTCTTTATTCTTTATGGTCTAACCAATTTTTTATACTTTCTACTGCCTCTTTCCAGTCCCTGATTGTGTCCTTCATTTCCTTAAGCTCCACCATATCCTTTCTGTATTCTACATATCTCTTCTCCATCTTTTGCTTTTGGCTTTCCATTTTCTCATTCATTCCTTTTATTGTCTTTATCATCCATATTTTAAATTAACTTTCTGTCAAGTCCATTAATTCTTTATAGGTGGAATCTTCTGCAGTAGCTGCCTCATGGTCCCTTGGGGGAGTTCCTCTGTTTTAGTTTTTCATGTTGCCTGAATTTTTCTGTTGGTTCCACCTCATCTGTTCTTTCTTCTCTTTCACCTCCTTGTCCTCCTTTTTCCTTCTCACTGCTTCTTTTGTTTCAAGAAGTTCTTGCTCTTGATGACAGCATGTTGCAATATGTAGCCAGAACACCATGTGGCACTGGCTCTATGATCCTTATTCCAAACTTAGTTGCCCTCAGTGATTGGGGGTGACAGGCTCTATGTGGCAACCTCTATGATTCTTATTCCAAATTTAGTTGCCCTCAGTGATTGCCTAATTGTTTCTTTAGCATTCAGACCCTGCTAGCTTGGGATCTTAAAACTCACAAGAATCCTTCAGGATCAGGCCAGGTGCAGTTGCTCACACCTGTCACCCTAGCACTCTGGTAGGCCGGGGTGGGTGGATTGCCTGAGCTCATGAGTTCAAAACCAGCCTAAGCCAGAATGAGACCTGGTCTCTAACAATAGCCAGGCATTGTGGTGGGCACTGTAGTCCCAACTACTTGTGAGGCTGAGACAAGAGAATCACTTGAGCCCAAAAGTTTGAGGTTGCTGTGAGCTATGATGCCATGGTACTCAACCCCAGGGCGACTGAGTGAGACTATCTAAAAGAGAGAGAATCCTTCAGGGGCAGGTCTCACAGTGCCCCTGAATC